TTCTTCTTCTTCTTCTTCTTCTTCTTCTTCTTCTTCTTCTTTCCTATTTAGCACAGGATCTGCAGAGTCTCACTACACAGATCAGACTCTTAGTGATTCTCCTGTTTTCAGCCTTCTAAATTCTGGGATTACAGATGTGCACCACCACACCCAGTCTCATTTGCTGTCTCAGCACACCCTGGGGGCAGGACCAGCATGGCAAGCCAGGGATCGAACTCCAGTCCCTGAGTCTGCCTAAGCAGGCATTTTTATTTGTTGAGCTATCTGGCCACCCCTGGTAGCTTCTTCTGTAGTATTTTCAGTCTGTTTATCTATAATATTGATCTTGTGACCAAAGTTATAATTGTTAATCTATATTCTTACAATGTCTCATGTATTAGGCAGACAACCACAAATGTTTTATAGGGCTTTACAATTTTAAAAATGGTTTTATTTTTACATTTTCTCACTTAACTCTTGCAATAGTCAGAGGAAGTAGTGTATTAGTGGAGTTGGAGAGAATCACCAGACTGAAGACCCAGGCAAAGAGCTACTATCACAGAAGTCTGTTCCCTGTTGCTCTGGCGACATCAGCCTTTTGTTTGGCTCTGGGCTTCAACCAATTAGGCTAGCCTCACTCACATGGTGGAAAGCAATCTACTTGACTCCAAGTCCACAACTGAAATATAGTCTCATTCCAGAAGCCTCTCACAGAAATATGCAAAATGTGGACCAACTGTATGGGTCCTGGGACTCAACCAAGTTGACACATAGAATTAATCGTTACAGATAACTATGATTAACCCCATATTTAAAAATGTGGTAACTAAGAATCCTCAAGGTCAAGGGACTAATTTCAATGTTCCTTCTCCTCTCTATCACTGTCTCATAAAATCTATGATCCTAGTGTCATGTTTTCCATTCATCCATCTCAGAGGAAGCTCGGCCAGACATTCAAAATGCCTTGGAATTCCTCCTGGCTTTTTTTGTATGTTCTGACACCAGCTTAGGAGTATCCTACAATTGAATTAAATTCTGACACTACCCCAAATTAATGAAGATCCCAAAAACTAAGGGCTCAGTATTAAAGGATGCTCCACTTCAGACAACAATCCTAAATTTCAGGTGTCCCCAAGGCATTTTCATTTCTGCCAAGCCAGCCACAAATTCAAGGCTTCTGACAACTCCTTTAGATTTGATAATGTGCTAGAGCAACTCACAGAACGCAGGAAAGCTCTGTACTTACCGATTGCTATTTTATTTTCTATCATTAAATAACCTGATGAAGAGGTACACAGCACAAGATCTGGGAAGATGACGACCAAACAGCTGTGAGTTTCTGCGTATATTTGATTCTTAATGTATTTTTTAAGGCAGATTCATAAAACTTGCAGCCTCTTCCCACATATTGATGCCCTCATCCATTCCTTTATTCAACATCTTTATAGTACA